TAGAAAAGTAAAAAAACAAGTTGTCATCTAGACATCATAAACACCCCTGAAATAACAACAGTACAAAAAGTTGGCAACCAGGTAATAAATTATAAAATATCAACTAAATAACAACAATAAAACAAAACAAGCTACCAAGCCCATACGTCCATCGACATGTATATTACAATCACTAATTAGTATGCTCATTGCAACCTAGTCAGGAAAAAACAAAAACACAAACTCCATCATTGTGATCATAAAACATAACAGACTGCCAACTGGAGGCAAATAAAAACCAACTCCTGGCTGTTATACTTTGTTGTTCCTTTTGTTGTTTGCCATTATGGGCCATAGCATGCATGAGAAGCAACAAATAATTGATTTTGGCCCACATGGGTGCTCTAGAAGTACGAACGTACAAGCGTGACTTCTTTACTTTGTGAAAAATGCAGTTGCAGAAAAAATAATTTGGAAGAAAATTTGTATTTGAAAAGTAAGGACAAATTAATTTTAAAAATGTCCTAAAATTCATTACCACTATTTATTATGCCTGTCATGGCTCTATTTTTTTAAAGACCACGGCTCTAATTAGGAAGCAACAAAAATACAAACGACATTGCAATCGTATAAAAGAACAAGTTGCTAACTGGAGGTTCAATAATAAAAATAAAAAACAAGTTGTCATCTAAAGATTATAAACACCCCTAAATCAACAACGGTACAAAAAGTTGAGAACCGGGAGATAAATTATAAAAAAGCCACTAAATAACAACAATAAAACAAAACAAGGTAGCAAGCCCCATACGTTAATCCACATGTATATTACAATCGCTAATTAGTATGCTTGTTACAACCTAGTCAGGAAAAAACACAAACTCCATCACTATAATCATAAAACATAGCCGACTGTCAACTAGGGGCAAATAAAAACCAACTCCTGACAATATAAAAAAAATAACAAGCTGCTAACTGGGGACCAACCGGCCAAACTATAAAAAAAACAATTAACAACATCATAAAAAAAATGGGAACTAGAACCTATTTATAAAAAACAATCCCAAACAAGAAGAACAGGATGCAAATTGGAGGCTAAATTGTAAAAACAATAGCGAACAACAAGAGAAAAAAAATGAAGCTGACAACTCGGAGCCAAATTACAAAGAAAAATCAACAAAAAAAATTAAAACCGCCAACTGGGGGTTGGGGCATATTATAAAGCAATCCTGAACCATGTCGACAAAACAGAACAAGCTACCAACTAAGGGCCAAACTATGAAACAACCACTAACAACGTCAACCAAAAAACTGACAATGGAGGGCCAAAATATAAAACAACCCCAAACAATAAGAACAAAAAATGACAAGTTGCCAACTAGGGGGCGAAGTATAAAAACAATACCGAATAACGGAAACAAAAAAAACGAAAGCTGCCAATTGAGAGGCAAATTACAAAAACAACCCCAAACAACAAGAAAAAAAATAAAGCTACCAAATGAGGACCAAACTATAAAAACAACTCCTAACCACGTCAACCAAAAAAGAACAAGCTGCCAACTAGGATCAAATTATAAAAAAACACTAACAACATCAACAAAAATATGACATTTTAGGGCCAAATTATAAAAAAGAACAAGCAGACAATTTTGTGGGGAATTATAAAAACAACCCTAAATAACAGGAACAAATAAATTAAAGCTGCCAACCGGGGCCAGATTATAAAAAATAACCTCTAGCTACGTCAAAAAAAGAACACGCTACCAACTAGAGACCAAACTATAAAAACACCACTAACAACATAAAAAACTAGCAATTGAGGGTCAAATTATAAAAAACCCCCCACACAATAACAACAAAAAAACAAGCTAACCAGGGGCTAAAGTATTAAAATAACCCCAAAAAAACAGGAAATAAAAATAAAACTACCAACTAAAGACCAAGCTGTAAAATCAACCCAAAACAATAAGCAAAAAAGAACAAGCTGTCAGCTAAGGGACCAAATTATAAAACCAACCTTGCATAAAAGAATATGTAATACCACCAGCTCTTTTTTTTTTGAATTACACAAGTACAAATGCAAACGCAAACGCACACGCTCGTACACTCACCCTTATAAACGCACATACGTAAACTTTATCCCTATGAGCTCCTCTAAAAGACTATGCTGGCACATCTCGAGATTGACGAAATCACCACATGCGCCTCGCTATCGACGAGAACGTCGTCTACCACTGAAAGCACAACGTCGTTAAATCCTAAAATAAATCTAGAAAAATACGAACATCCGTACCAAATCGAGCACTTCCACAAATTAAGCTAGACTCAGTTCGCGCGAACCGCCAGCTCCTGCTGTTGCAGCCTCACACATTGCTAAAACAGTAAAACTTCGTGTTGTTCACTATGTAACTGCACGTTCACCGTGTCACGAGAAAAGAAATCTAGAAGATCCCTCTCACTATAGTACAAGTTACCACGTCCACACGATTACACCATGACACCAATAGCACACGTTTGCTACCTCTCCATGCGTGCCAGCAAACTAGTATACAGTAAAACAAAACAGCCAGGCGAGGGCTGGCCTCACATCCAACGCATAAGAAACGACGAAAGGACCGATCGGAAGGCTGAGAAATCGGTTGTTGAAAGCAAACAAAACAACCGGGTGGCCTTTGCTTTTTCCCTTAGGGCACGTTCGGATAACACGGAATCAAGCCCAGGAATTGATCCGGTCAGGAACGTAGCTCTATTTTATACGTCAAAACAGCACTAGGAACAGTTCCGTCCAGGATTAAGCCTAAACGAACGGGCCCTTAAACGGCCTTTAACGGAATAAAAGGGCTGAATAGGAAGGAGCATGAGCAAAATGACTCAGAATACCCTCCATCCAAAAATACTAATTGTATTAGACTAGAGACTAGAGTAAAAAATAATACAAAATAAATTTGACCATTAATTTCTCGTATGGTATAAAGTCAGCGGCTAAAAAATCAATATCAACTTAGAGGCACTTTTAACACAAATCTAATGTAAGTTTTATGCTCTAAACTTTTATACAATTTCACTAATTGTTGGGGAGGAGCCCTACCAAACAAGGCATTATTATCCTACCAGCTAACCAGTTTGCTAATGTGTGGTAACAGATTTATTAAAGAGAGAGAAAAATAGAGAAACCATTTCTACGTCAAGAACCAGTGTCTTCACGTATATATCGATATTGCTAGAGACCATCTAGACCGTGTTGGGGAGTAGGACATCGTTTCTATCAGCACACGGTAGATCTTGTACTCCTGCATCCTCCTTCCCCACTTCCGAGCGAATGAACATGCAAATGACGATAGATCTTGCCATCTTGTAATGAATGAAATATTTTTTTTAATGGTAGACGATAGATCCATCCCACTCCGGAGATGATTCATCAAAAAAAAACTCATTTTAATCTCGAGAAGCTTACATTTGGATTAGGAGCTGGAATCCTTTGGATTAGATTTATTGCTTTAGGAGCTGTTTCTATTGCTTTTCTCTTGATCAGTGCAATTCAGTGGAAATATGGCGCGTCTCTATTGCACGATTTTCTCTAGACCTGCGGCAGTGCAGCAGCAGCAGCGGCTCTTCTGTTTCCGCAACGACAACAGCCACATGCGTTTTTGTTTTTCAGATTAGCAAAAGCTTCTACTCGACTGAGTTTGTTTCAGGCTTGAGCCGGCGATCAAGGTACTGAATACTGATGGTGTTCGTCACGGCACAATTTCTGGTTGTGTGATGTGCACCTAAAACATATAATGAGCAAGCAAAGCAAATCAATTCTAAAAGTTTGTGGCTCCGCCGAAGTCCCTGCCTATCATGTGGATCGCAAGATCGAGGCCCAGCATTACCTTGGGCTGAAAAAGGCCCTCCTTGTACGCAGCACAAAACAACTTTGAAAAATCACAACAATGCAGTGTGCAGTGAGTACATCCTCTGACGACGACGATGCTAAGTTATGGCTTTCAGTATTGCTCACCCTCTTGTGGCGCCTCTGGGATGCACGAAATGGAGAAATATTCCGCGGAGAACAGACGTCGACAGTGAAGTACTCACGCGTTACTGAGGATCTCGCTCTGTGGAAAAAGCGTCCTGTCTTAAAGAAAGCCGGCACTGATGGTAGCATCCATGCCTGGCAAATGTATCTGAACGAGGGCGCGTTTAGTTCCCAATTTTTTTTGGGTTTGGGTACTGTTCGGCTACTGTAGCACTTTCGTTTGTATTTGATAATTAGTGTCTAATTATGAACTAATTAGGTTTGAAAGTTTCGTCTCACGATTTCTCACCAAACTGTGCAATTAGTTTTTTTTTCATCTACATTTAATACTCCATACATGTACCGTAAGATTCGATGTGACACTTTAAGGTGAAAATTTTTGGAATCTAAACAGGGCCTGAATGTAAACTCTCGGCCCATGTACCCCCTGTGCTCTCTGTAACAACTGTCTAAACTTTGTTTACTAAAATGTCCACGTGGGGATCCTCTCCCCCCTAGTTAACTTTCAAAAAAAAAATCACAACAATGCGAAGTAAACACAATCCACTAGTCGTGGGCTGATTGGGTCAATACTTTTCCACGGCCTCTATCGCTTCCTTCTTAACTTTTTATTTTATTTTTTTTGTCGACATTTTCTTTGAGGTTTCTACTGCTCTCTGCATTTTGCTTAAAAAAAACTGCTCCCTGCATTCGAAATTATATAGTTCGCGTAGTACAGTTGGGTCGATAGAAGTGACGCAAGACGGCTGGCCCGATTTATTACACCAAGGCAGTTTCGGTAGCCGTTGCAGACTCTACTCGGCTTTGTCATCTCGACGAAGGAAGCGCCGAGCGTGGAAAGGCTCGAGCCAAACCTTTGCCAGGTGGCGCAAAAAATACTGTTCCGATTGAAAAAAGAAGTCGAATAAACCGGCTTTTAGGTAAGCCGAACGGAGCCACTGGCCTTTGATGACGATGCGTTGGTTGGCGCGCGCGCGGCGCGCACAGGCACGAGATCGTGGGCATGGTGACCGGCGTCGGCGGCGGCGTCACGCGGTTCAAGGCCGGCGACACGGTCGGCGTGGGCTACTTCGTCGGCTCCTGCCGCTCCTGCGACAGCTGCGGGAAGGGGAACGAGAACTACTGCGCCGGGGTCGTGCAAACCTCCAACGGCGTCGACCACGCGCACGGCGGCGTGCCCACCAGGGGGGTGTTCTCCGACGTCATCGTCGTGAACGAGCACTACGTGGTCCGGGGGGGTGTTCTCCGACGTCATCGTCGTGAACGAGCACTACGTGGTCCGCGTCCCGGACGTCCTGGCGCTGACCGCACCGCGCCGCTGCTCTGCGCCGGCGTCACCGTCTACAGCCCCATGATGCGCCACGGCCTCAACGAGGCCGGCAAGCACCTCGGCGTCGTGGGGCTCGGCGGCCTCGGCCACGTCGCCGTTAAGTTCGGCAAGGCGTTCGGGATGAAGGTCACCGTCATCAGCGCGTTCGGGATGAAGGTCACCGTCATCAGCAAGCGCCAGGAGGCCATCGAGCACCTCGGCGCCGACGAGTTCTTGATCAGCCGGGACCCGGAGCAGATGAAGGTGTGCCGTCACATCTGGCCTCCCCTTCTCCACGGTCACTGCTGATTGTGATTGGAATCTGTAACTAACGCGGGGACCTCCTCCTGATATATGTGAGCTGAGCAGGCGGCGACGGGCACCATGGACGGCATCATCGACACGGTGTCAGCGTGGCACCCGATCACGCCGCTGCTTGCGCTGCTGAAACCGTTGGGGCAGATGGTGATCGTGGGCGGGCCGAGCAAGCCGCTGGAGCTGCCGGCGTACGCCTTCCTGCCAGGCGGGAAGGGCGTGGCTGGGAGCCTTGTCGGCAGCGTCGGGGACTGCCAGGCCATGCTTGAGTTCGCGGGGAAGCACGGCATCGGCGCCGAGGTGGTGGTCATCAAGATGGACTACGTCAACACGGCGATCGAGCGGCTCGAGAAGAATGACGTCCGCTACCGCTTCGTCATCGACGTCGCCGGCAGCCTCGGCTCTGCCGCCTAGGCATGGTTGAAAAGTTTAAATCGGAGTCCCAGTAATTTATTAGCTACGGAATGATGGTCGACGCTTGTTGTTGACGCTTGTTGGTGAGTTGGTGAAAAGTTTAAATCGGAGTCCCGGTAAAATAGGCAGGGAAGATGTGATGCAAGCTTTAACCATCTTAATTTTCTTTGAAGTAATAACCATCTTATTATTTTTGAAGTAATAAACATCTTAATTTGATCCGTTTGTTGCTCCGTGGCTATGGGCCATTTAGTTGCTGGCCAAATTCTAACACAACACAACACTGTTTGAAAGATACACTGGGTGTTTCTCAAAAAAAAAAAAAGAGACTGATACACTGGGTTGCTAAAATAGAATGATACACTGGGCCACAAGAAGCAGGCCGTTTTTTTTAACATGGAACTTCGTATGGTAAACTCAAAATTATTCCTATAAGTTTAGGTAACCCTTCCTAAAAACAATAGGTAAAAGAAAGCTACTTGCTTTCAATCGCCTAGAAAAAAAATCGGAGATTACTCTATATTCTAAACAGGATATATGTGATTTTTTCCTCCCTTTTGACATATAACTAAATAAAAAAAGCAGAGCAAAATAAAGAACGTAAGGAAGTAACTCTTGTCCTTCTCTATTTGATCGTTAAGAGTTCTATTTAGAGTACCCAGGACGTGTTCCTACTTCATATTGGTCTAGACAAGAGTTATTCTAATTCGTATGAGCACAAATTATTATATATATAAGTTCAGACAAAAGAAACTCTTCGTTGTTCGGTAGTTAGAGGGAGATGGACAAAAAAAAAAGATGGACAAAAAAAATGGTCGAAAATTTTACCTCTTTATTATTAGATATAAATATAGATATAGATATAGACATTAATAGATTGGATCACTAAATACGAAGAGCATATTCGGCATAGTTATTCCAGCTTTGAGATCCATGCCAAGGGACTGTTTGCAGAGATTCACCGACAACTCCTGAAGCTGTTTTGCATGTTCATGAACCAAACAGCTAAAAAGGTAGCTGCTCCTCACGGGAATCTCCTTAAAACACGGTGAGACAAGCGAGAATCTTCCGAAGCTTCCTGAAGTTTCCTCCAAGTCTAATATATTTATGCTCTTCTCATCAATGCTGCAGCTGTGACATGGAGTTGGCTCTCCCTCGAGCGGCAGCCGTGCGTGGCTCGGCATGCTCTTGGGCTACGACACCTAGTCAGACGCACGACAACAGCATGTGGCCCAGCACGCCCCTCCATGGTTCCATGTGGGCAGACACAACCGGGCGCGAAGGCATGTGGGCGAGCTAGCGCGGGGCGCGCGGAAGGGGGTGCCTCGTGTCAGGGTTTCTCGGAGGGGGGAAGAAAGAGACGAGGGAAGCTAGGGAAGAAAGACAGAGGCGAGGAGTCATGCGTGCAGTGAGAAGACAAGGCGGAGAGAGAAGCGGAAAAATAAACCAAGTGAGGAAAAGATGAGGGAGGAAAAAAAATAAAGAGAGAAAAAAAGGAAAAATAAAAGAGTATTATAGTCACTAGTATAGTGCCCGTGCTAACGTCACGGCTTCATTTCAGAGATGCATATGAAAACAACCAAATAACAATATTTTTTCATAGTTTAAGTCTCACACAATTGTATATGACCATGTGGTAGCAGACTAATATTTACTCACAAATGGATTGCAGAACTGGAACAAATGAATCTCGTAAGAACCAACACGTGCAATTTGTTTTAGATACATTTTGAATATACTATTTTATTGCTGGATGGTTAACATCATCCACAACCTGAAACTATTTGCTACTGCTATTGTGTAATCCAGTGATCCAATAACATTACTTCTATATCTATAAAGAGATATATATATTCAAAGATATACATGTAGTGTATATTCAGAGACATATTTTATAGTCTTGCTAGGGCCTGGTCTCTTTGTAGTTTGTACTGACCTTCAAATTCTCTTGAGGGTTCAGTAACAACCTGTGTATTGTTGCTAAGAAAATGACCAAAAACATGATTTATAAAACAATCTTGACACTTAGTATATAGAGTGTCATCTTACTGGTTTTCACTTTGAATGATGCACAAGGAATTTTTAAAAAAAATCAAAAATCAAATTGACAGGTATGATCTTTCGATAGGCGGTTTAATAGAATCAGTCGCTAGACAACCAAGCAAAACAGATCATCATCACACAAGCAATAACATCACAAAGGACAGTCCGATTAGTGATTTTACCTTGTAAAGGGGTGGCAGCTCTTCATACAGGAGGCTACAGAGGGTTGGCTCAATTTGCTGCACGGCAGATAGAGAAGGGCAGCGCTGCTTCTTGGACGATGGAGAAAGACGTCGCTACTTCTCCGCGTCCAAGGTCCAGAATACATGCCTCTTACTTTTCTTACTTGCTGCAGTGCATGAAGAAATTCTACTCCCTCTTGGCATGTCCATTCAGCCTAATCATCACTAATGAGGACAAAGAAGATATCGATGAGCAAAATGTTCAAAACCACAAAATGACATCAAAAGCTTCAAAAGTGTAATAGTAACATAACCCAAACTGATGTCATGTAAAAACTGAAAAAGAATAAAAAAACATAGAGCTGAAAAGTTCTGATAAGCCATCTTCATATTAAAAACCATAGAGCTCCGCACATAATCCAATCCATTTTCATTCAAGTAAAACAAAGGTATCTAGCAACATTACTGAAGTCTTGAAGTGCAAACAATTTAGCAAAATATAGCAGTGCCGGTATTGCCAACCAACCAAATCTTAAATGCCCATAGTCATAGCTATTTAGGGGAAGCAATACATGTGCTTGTATTTAACAGGAGGTGGAAAGCTACTCTTAGCAAGCCAAACATTACACAGGCACTTTCGACAAGTCAAACTCTGTATGTAAATCAGAGAGCACAATTGATATTTATTGCTTGGATTAATTACTTGAACACCATATCTTAACAATTCATCTATTGAAAGCCACAAATCACCTGAAAATGGCGAATCGATGGCTTCACCGATCTATTGTTGTACTGAAACTCGCAACACTTGCTGCTCGGCTCTACTTGCTTGCACAACTAAAAATAATGTTTTTTCAAATAATTAGGCTTGAACAACTGAAATAATAAAAATAAACTTTGATAAATAAGCATGGAGGGAAAACAGGTACAGCCTAGATTTATACTACACCTGATCAATGATGAGTTCTATCTTTTTTCCATGCCATTGCATCCTCGATATCATACGCACCCATCTATGAATTCAATTTATTTGTGATCCGATGGTGGACGCACAAACAGGGAGACTCCAATAGGCAATCATACCAACTCCAGCTTGTTCCTTCAAAAACATAGTGCACAAATTCTGTGAGTGATAGTGAACAGACCAAACATTTTCATTGAAAGACAACATGATAGATGACATTGCATCGTTGTATTTTTTGAGAAGTTTGCAACAAGATGGTTCCTAAATATTAAGACACCTGGAGGACCTTAACTGATGATTTTCTAGTACGTCAGGGGTCTCGTGCTGATCCAAGATAGTCTTTTCTTCAGGCATTAGGAGAAGCTCGATTTGTAGGCAAACAAGGAAATAGTTGTAGTGTAGAACACAAAGAAGTAGAGCAGATGGTCTGTATATTTGAGCAATAATGGTCTGTATATGTGAGCAAACAAAAAATTAGTGGTAGTGTAGAACACAAAGAAGTAGGTGATTAATCCGTTCCAACAATAGTCTAAAAAAGATTCCAATAATGTCTCGACACAATAACTAATCTCTATATCTGAGCAAACCAAATCTAAAGCCAACCAAAGGTTTGGCTTTGATGCCAAAGAATTTTCCATCTCTGACCCAATTCTAAATCACATACCTCCAAGATACACCTAAGTTGCATCCAAAAGCAAAACATGATTAATTTAAACATGACTGCCTGCAATTGCTACCTACTCAAATTGGGTGAAATGCTAGATCCAACGCAGATCCAGAGAGGGAGGTAGAGAGTGGATCTCACAGCCAGAGAGAGCGTGGAGGCCAGCGACATTGGGGAACTCCACCGTGGAACCAGCCTCCTGCATCACAACCACTCCGCCGTGGAGCCCGCGCGTGCCGGTGTGCCGCAATGGCTGAAGGCGCCCACCGTCGGGGCCCGCTGTGCCGACACGACACCCGGTGGTGCTTGTCGTCACCCCAACCATGCTGCATGGGGGGTGGAGTGGGGGATGTGGAGGCGGAGGAGGCGCCACATGCTGAGAGGGTCGGCGACGGCCGATGGCGATGTCCGCACCAAAGACTACGCCGTTGCCACGCTTTCGGTCGGGCCCGGCCGCCAGGTTAGGAGAGAGAGGGTGAGAGAGAGAGAGGAAGGGGAGGGGGGGCGCCGCCTGTGCGCTAGGCCACCGCCACTACAATGGGGCAGGAGGAGGGAGTCGCTCAACGCCATAGGGTAGGGAGAGGGGAGAGGGGGAGTTGCGCGTGGCCGCGTGGGGCGGCGGAGCGGAGAGGGGGAGTCGCGGCCATTGGATGGGATGGGTGCCGCAGTATCGCGTCGCTGGGGCGGGGGGCGTGGGCGGTCGCTAGGGCAAGGCACATCCAAAGAAGCAGGACCATAGGATGTGGTTGAGTAAGGAGAGAATGGATGAGAGTTAATCCGGTGCGCATGTTTTAATGTGATCTTTATCTGTGTATGTTTTGTGAGGTGGACGTAGTTTAGGTTGTGACTGTAGATGTGGGATTTGTTTGGTGGCTATAGGATAATTTGAAGTGGTGTATTATAGGGGTAGAGATAGAGATAGAGATTTCGTCGGTGGAACTATTTTACCAAATTATTCTTAAAACAACTGCAGTTTTAGTTCCATCGGTAGAATTGTTCCATGAGCCGTAGCTAAAAAGACTACTCCACCGATAAAACGGAGCTATACAAATGCACCTTAAATATGTGTTTATAATTAATTAAAATAACTTAATTAAGTATATTTTATCTAAAATCTAAAATAGAAACAAAATGATTTAAGTAAATG